GTCTCTCTTATGCTTAGTGGTACTGAACATTTTTTTGTTTGTTGGCCACTTGTATGCCTTTTGAGGAGCGTCAGTTCATGTCCTTTGCCTACTTTTGAATGGGGCTATTTGTTTTTTCTTGTTGATTTGTTTAAGGTACTTATAGATTGTGGATATTAGTCCTTTGTCAGATGCATAGTTTGCAAACATTTACTCCCATTTTGTGCGTCATCTGTTTATTCTGTTGATAGTTTCTTTTGCTGTGCAAAAGCTCTTTAGTTTAATTAGGACCTAATTGTCCATTTTTGATTTTGTCACGTTAGCTTTCAAGAACTTAGTCAAAAATTCTTTGCTTCGATCAATGTCTAGAAAAGGATTTTCTAGTTTTTCTTCTAGGATTTTTCTAATTTGAGGTCTTACATTTAAGACTTCAACTCATCTTGAGTTAATTTCTGTATATGGTGAGAGGTAGGTGTCCAGTTTCATTCTTCTGTGTATAGCTAGCCATTTATTGAATAGACTGTCCCTTCCACATTGTTTTTGCTGACTTTGTCAAATATTAGTTAGTTGTAGGTGTGCAGCTTCATTTCTGGGTCTCTATTCTATTCATTGGTCTATGTGTCTGTTTTTGTACCAATACCATGCTGTTTAGGTTACTGCATCCTTGTAGTACAGTTTGAAGTCAGCTAATGTGATTCCTCCAGCTTTATTCTTTTTGCTTAGAACTGTCTTGATTATTTGGGCTCTTTTTTGGTTCCATATGAATTTTAGAATAGTTATTTCTAATTCTGTAAACATTAACTCATAATTTGACAGGAATACCATTGAATCTATAGATTTGTTTGGGCAGTATAAACATTTCAACGATACTGATTCTTCTGATCCATAAGCATAGAATGTTTTTCCATTTGTTTGTGTCATCTATGATTTCTTTCAGTAGTGTTTTGCAGTTCTCCTTATAGAGATCTTTAACCTCCTTGGTTGGATGTATTCCTGCATATTTTATTTTGTGTGTGTGTGGCTACTGTAAATGGTATTGCATTTTTAATTTGGTTCTCAGCTGAATGTAATTGGGTATGGAAACGCTACTGATATGTGTACATTGATTTTGTATCCTGAGACTTTGCTGAGGTTGTTTATCAGGTCTAGGAGTCTTTTGGGAGAATCTTTAGGGTTTTCTAGGTGTAGAATCTTATCGTCAGCAAAGAAAGATAATTTGACTTATTTTTTTTCCTATTTGGGTACTTTTATTTCTTTGTCTTGTCTGATTACTCTGGCTAGGGCTTCCAGTACTATGTTGAGTAAGAGTGGTGAGAGTGGACAACCTTGTTTTATTCCAGTTCCTAAGGGGGAATGCTTCCATCTTCCCATTGAGTATGATGTTGGCTGTGAGTCTGTCATAGATGACTCATTATTTTGAGGTATGTTCCTTCAATGCCTAGATTGTTGAGGGCTTTTATCATAAAGAGATGTTGTTGTATTTTATCAAATGCTTTTTCTGCATCTATTGAGATGATCATATGGTTTTGGTTTTTAATTGTTTATGTGTTTTTAATTCTGCATGTGTTGAACCATCAGTACATCCCCAGAATAAAGCCCACCTGATTGCAGGGAATTCACTTTTTGATATGCTGCTGGATTTGGTTTGCTAGCATTTTATTGAGGATTTTGCATCTATGTTCACCAAGGATATTGGCCTGTAGTTTTCTTTTTTGTCATGTCTTTGCCAGATTTTGGTATCAGGATGATAATGAGTTTATAGAATAAGTTATGGAGACGCCTCTACTCCTTGATTTTTTGGAATAGTTTCAGAAGAATTGGAACCAGCTCTTTTTTGTACTTCTGGTAGAATTCAACTGTGAATCCATCTGGTCCAGGGCTTTTTTGCATGGTAGGTTTTTTATTATTTATTCAATTTCATTCCTCATTATTGGTCTGTTTAGGATTTCTGTTTCTTCCTGGTTCAATCTTGGGAGGTTGTATGTTTCCAGGAATTTCTCCATTTCCTCTAGATTTTCTAGTTTATGTGCATAGAGATGTTCATAGTAGTCTCCGAGGATCTTTTGTATTTCTGTGGAATCAGTGGTGATGTCACCTTTCTCATTTCTAATTGTGCTTATTTGGATCGTCTCTCTCTTTTGAGACTAGTTAGCAGTCTATCAATCTTGTTTATCCTTTCAAAAAACCAATCTTTCATTTCATTGATCCTTTGTATTTTTTCTTGGGTTTCAATTTTGTTTAGTTCTGTTCTAGTTTTAGTTATTTCTTTTCTTCTGCTAAGCTTTGAGATTAGTTCTTGTTTTTCTAGTTCCTTTAGGTGCAAGTGTAGGTTGTTAACTGGGATCTTTCTATCTTCTTGATGTAGTCATTTAGCGTTATAAACTTTCCTCTTACCACTGCTTTTGCCATATGCCAGAGGTTTTGGTAGGTTGTGTCTCTATTTTTATTGTCTCAAAGAATTTTTTTTATTTCTGCCTTAACTTCGTTGAGGTCATTCAGGAGTAAGTTATTTAATTTCCATGTATTTCTGTAGTTTTGAGTGTTCCTCTTGGTATTGATTTCTATTTTTATTCCACTGTGGTCTAAGAAGATACCTGGCTTGATTTTCACATTTTTAAAAAATTTATTGAGACTTGCTTTATGACCAAGCATGTGGTTAATCTTAGAGTATATTCTGTGCGCAGATTAGAAGAGTGCATTCTGTGGTTGTTGGGTAGAGTGTTCTGTAGATGTGTATCAGGTCCAATTGGTCTAGTGTTGAATTTAAGTCCAGAATTTGTTAGTTTTCTGTCCCAATGATGTGTCTAATGCTGTCAGTGGGGTGTTGAAGTCCACCACTATTATTACATGGCTGTGAAAGTCTTTTCTTAGGTCCAGAAGTAACTGTTTTATAAATCTGGGTGCTCTAATGTTGGGTGCCTATTTATTTAGAGTACTTAAGCCTTCTTGTTGAATTCAAGCCTTTATCGTTATGTAATGTCTTTCTTTACTGTTGTTGGTTTAAAGTCTATTCTATCTGATACAAGAATAGTTGTTCTTTTCTTTCCATTTGTGTGACAGATCTTTCTCCATTCCTTTACTTTGAGCCTATGGATGCCATTATATGTCAAATGGATCTCTTAAAAACACTAGAAAGATGGGTCTTTTTTTTTTTTTTTATCCAATTTGCCACTCTATATCTTTTAAATGGAGGATTTACGCCATTTATGTTCAAAGTTAATATTGATAGGTGAGATTTTGTTCCCGTCATACTGGTGTTAACTAGTTGCTCTGTAATCACAATTGTGTAGTTGCTTTATAGGATCCATGAGTTATGTGCTTGCATCTGGTTTTGTAATAGCAAGTATTGTTCTTTCGTTTCCTTGTTTAGAATTCCTTTAAGGATCTCTCGTAGGGCCAGTCTGGTGGTGATGAATTCCCTTAGCGATTGAAGGTCAGGGAAAGACTTTATTTCTCCTTCATTTGTGAAGCTTAGTTTGGTGGAATATGAAATTCTTAACTGGCATTTATTTTCTTTAAGAACACTAAAAATGGGCCCGCAATCTCTTCTGATTTGTAAAGTTTCTGCTGAGAGGTCCACTGTTAGTCTCATGGATTTCTCTTTATAGGTAATATGACCCTTTTGTCTAGCTGCCTTTAAGATTTTTTCTTTTCTGTGACACTGCGTAGTTGGATAACTATGTGCATTGGGGATAGTCATCTTATATAGTATCTTGGAGGGGTTCTACGGATTTCTTGTATCTGCGTGTTGATCTCTCTAGCAAGATTGGGGAAATTTTCCTCAGTTATATCCTCAAATATGTTTTCCAAGTTGTTTACCTTATCTTCTCTCTCAGAAATGCTAATAAGTTACAGATTTGGTTGCTTTACATAATCCCTTATTTCTCAAAGCCTTTGGAGAACAGTTTTTTGTTTGTTTGTTTGCATGTTTTGTTTTGTTCTGTTTTGTTGTAGTGACACGTTTGGTTGTGTTTATGTTTAACAGTTTATATCTGTTTTCGGTCAAGCAATTAGCCAGGGAGACTTTGTTAGAGAATGTGCACATAAAGAAGTTAACCTAGCCAGCCAGGTGCGGTGGCTTATGCCTGTAATCCCAGCACTTTGGGAGGCCAAGGCAGATGGATCACCTGAGGTCAGGACCAGCCTGGCCAACATGGTGAAATCTGTCTACTAAAAATTAGCCAGCTGTGGTGGTGGGCACCTATAATTCCAGCCACTCGGGAGGCTGAGGCAGGAGAATCGCTCGAACCCGGGAGGCGGAGGTTGTAGTGAGCTGAGATCAAGTCATTGCACTCCAGCCTGGGCAACAAGAGTGAAACTCTTTCTAAAGAAAAAAAAAGTTAACCTAGCCATACAACTTAGCATCACCATTATTTAATATTGTTTAGAGATATGTGCAGATAAAATGATTTCTTAGCTGGAGAACTCAAGAGAATCAGCTGAAAAGCTATTATAAATAGTGAAAGAATCCAGTATGGGGCCTGGAAAAGAAATATAATATGGAAAAATCAATAGTATTCTTACATTTGAACCACAACCAGAAGACAAAATAGAAGGTCCCATTCTATTCACAAAGAGGGCAAAAAGATAAAAAATTCCAAGAGACAAACTTAATGGTAATTTTTTAAAATACTGAAGCAAATCAAAAGCAATATTATGTTTTTCATTTTAAAGACACGGCATCTTAAAGTGTCAATTCTAGACCAGGTGTGGTGGCTAATGCCTATAATCCCAGCACTTTGGGAGGCCGAGGCGGGCAGATCCCTTAAGGTCAGGAGTCCAAGACCAGCCTGGCCAACATGGTGAAACCCAGTCTCTACTAAAAACACAAAAATTAGCCAGGAGTGGTGGTCCCAGCTACTTGGGAGGCTGAGGCAGGAGAATTGCTTGAACCTGGGAAGCAAAGTTTGCAAGGAGCCGAGATGGAGTCACTGCACTCCAGCCTGGGTAACAGAGCAAGACTCCACCACAAAAAAAAAAAAAAAAAAAAAAAAGTTGATGCTTTCAGAGCTAATTTATAAATACTATATTGTGAATCACACCCCCAAAATTATTAGTAGGATTTTCAAATTAGACAAGTTGATTTTAAAGTTCCTATGTAAAACTAAATAAGCAATAAGAGCCAGGAAAAAGCATCTAGGGAAAAATAAGAAGAGGAATAAAGAAGGACTGATAATACCAATTATTAAAATTGGAAAGACAGAAAGATAAGGAACAAAGAGAGTGAGGGAAGGAGGGAGAAGAGAAAAAAGAAACCCTACCTTTTATAACTGCTATGTAGGAAATACATTAAGTGCAGTTTTTAATACAAATATATTACCTTTCCCCTCCTCTCCACCTCACTGATATACAAATACCTCGTTAACTTAATGAAATAAATTAGCAATTATAAATGGAATAAATGAGCAACTAGCAAATAGTTTTTAGTCTTAAATTTCAGTACAATTTTAATACAACTAGAAAATATAAAATCTACTAAAATCCTTAATACAATCCCTGGCACATAGAGGCATGCACTCAAGAAATACTTGTTGAATAAATAATAAATAGTAGAGACATTTGACAAATTGTCTTTTGGAGTCCTAATGCCATTGAATGGATTTAGACACTATGCTAATATGTGGGGTTTTTTAAAAAGTAATTAATTAGTATTATTTTTTAAACTCAATTTTGAAAAGTTGAAATTATAGGAATCAAAACCAAAACAGTTTCAATTCAAAAGTAACCAAAAAAGGAAATACATTTTATATTTTTAAGTAAATATAGCAAAAGTATTATAATTGCTCTCCTGTGGTCACTTGGTCATGCAAGATCCCCAAAATGTATTATAAAAAGTCACATCATTCATTGTAGCATTATAATTATAGTAGCAAAACTCTTAAAAAAAAAAAAAAACCCTAAATATCCATCAATGGAGGACAGATTCTGAACAAATCCTGGTACATTTATGCAATGGAATACCATGTAGTTGTTTTTAAAAATAAAGTAGATCTCTGTGTGCTGATGTGGAAGAACCAAGATATCTTGTTAATTTTCAAAAAGCATGGAGGTGAACAAGAAGCCATGGAATGCACCTTACCCAGGGCTCTCGAGTCAGTGTGTAAGGCTGAAATTTAATATAGTCCTAATGTCCCTCAAAGATCCCCCATGATAATGCCAGTTTGCAGGCATTATGAACACTCCCTCGGTAAATGTTGTACAGAGCTAGTGTTTCCTTTGGCACTAAAAGGCTCTTCTGGTTCTTCAGTTGCACACCAGATGAAGCTGGCTCCCACAGGGACCATGTTTGTGATAAATACAGGCTTTAAAAGTTAGCCTTTATCCAGCCTTAAAAAGGAAGGAAATCTAACCATTTGCAACACCATGGATGAACCAGGAGGATATTATCCTAAGTGAATTAACGCAGACACAGAAGGTCAAATACTGTATAATTCCACTTATATGAAGTATCCAGTCAAACTCATGGAAACAGAGAGCAGAAGGGTTTCCAGGGGCTGGGGGAAGGGGGAAATTGGGAGTTGCTACTCAATAGGTATAAACCTTCAGTTATATAAGATAAATGATTCTAGAAATCTGCTGTACAACACTGTGCCTATATTGTATTGTATACTTAAAAATCTGTTAAGAGGGTAAATCTCACATTAAATGTGAGATCTACAGGCACAATGGCACATGCCTATAGTCCCAGCTACTCAGGAGGTTGAGGCAAAAGGAAAGCTTGAGCCCAGGTGCTTGAGTCCAGTGTGGGCAATGTAGCAAGACCTTGTCTCTAAAAAAAAAAAAAAGAAAGAAAGATTTTAAAAATGTTTTTACCACAATTAAATTAAATTAAATTAAATTAATTTTTTTTAAAAAAAGCTAGCCTCACCCCAGGCTCAGGGCTGTGCATGCTAAGAGTGAGTCCAGCTAAAGGAGCAACACACTAGTGTGACAGTCTCCTGCTTAGTCATCAAGTAGAATGTCATGTGGATCACCAGCACTGATTCTTTCCTGCTTTGGTTTGGTTTAGTTTTTACTAATTTTGTTTTATCACATACATGCATTACAATAATGTAAGTCAATTCACCTATAGAACATCTCCACTGTAAAATTCTCTTATTTGTGTAAAATAAATAAAAGAACAAGTATCCACAAATATACTCACCTATACACAGATTTTTCTAGAGGTGCACTCAAGAAACTGGAAATACAGGTTATTTTTGCCAAGAACGACAAGGAATCTGGAGAACTGGAGTCAAAGGACATTTTACACTCTAATATTTTTGTATGATTTGAATTTTATCATGTATATGAATTACTGTTTTAAAAAAACCTACCAGTAAAAATGCCATGTTTAAAAATACATAAAATCTAATGATTTAAGATATAAGTGTAGACTAAATACCTACTTACCTCCCACTAATAACAACTTACTCCATCTGTCATTCTTAACCTTTGTGGGTCTTACAGAATCTTTGGAAATTTGGTAAGAATTATGACCTTTTCCCCAGTAGAAGACATGTAGATATACACACATATAACCATGAAGTCCATAAACATTAAATTTACAGCTGTTGTGCTACAACGTTTATCTGTGGGATTCTTGCCAAAAATGTTTAACCTGAATCTATTCATGAAGATATAATCTGATGAATCAAACATACGGGGCATTCTTCAATATAAACAGCTTAGATTCCAAAAATTCCATGTCATAAAACAAAGGAAACTAAAAACATAAATCCAAAAAGACTAAGAGACACAACAACTAAATACAATGTAAGAATATTGGTCAAATCATGAATTGGGGAGGGAAAAAAACCTATAAAAGATATATTTGAAACAATAAGAGAAATCCAAATCTGAATTCTGTATTAGATAATATTATGGAATTATTATTTGTTTTATAAGTATTATGATGCCTGTTAAACAACTGAGGGGTGAAAAGTCATGATGTCTGCAACTTATTTTTATGGTTCAAAATAGTATACCCAGGGATAGTGCAAATGAATGTGACTAAAGGTTAACAACTGCTGAAGCTACATAAAGGGCATATGGGTACCCGCTGTACTATTTTTCTAACTTTTCTGTAAACCTGAAATTTTTCTATACACAAAGTTGAAGGCGAAAAAAAAGTTAAAATTCTTCACTCTCCTATAAAACTTCACTCTCCTATAATTCTAAAACAGCACCTACCACCAAATTTCCCCCTCTTCCACTTATTCTTGTGGCTTTCCATCTCCTTCTTTCTTGCCAAAATGGATTGTACTATTCAGGAAATCTAGCACTTGATTTGTTTCTTCCAAAATTATTACGAAGCGTAAACAATGTCTCAACTTGGACTGTCTCTTTTTTTGTCTGTCTCTCTTGGTTAAACTATGATCTTGGTGAGGGAGGTCAGGAACTACACTTTTGTCGTCTTTATAACCCCAGTGTCAGAACACAATAAGAAGAGTCAATAAACATGAGGTGAACTGAAACTTTGGACCAGTTCACTGAACTTTAGTACCTATTATGCTATTCTTTAGCAAACTGGGTAACAGATAATATGGAAGGATTTTTAAAATGCTGAAACTAAATCACTAAAATAAAATACTAGAGCTGCTTCTTCCTTGAGTATAGAGAAAATGAGCCTTGTTTATAAGTAGCTTTGTACCACATTAGCAAAAGTCTGGAAATACAAAACACAGTCAAAGTTAATAAAGTTAAAATTTTCACACTGCCATTTGTGCAAGTCACTGGCCTTATCTGACTTCTACCTGTTAGTTTTTTTATTCTCTAATCCTACACTGACAACATTTTTCTGTGATGATAGAGGTGAAGAGCCTGTCACTGGCAACACAGCACCATCCTCATTTAGAGTAAATAAAACTATTTAAAGCAAATTGGAAATTGAATGACAGAAAGTGCCACAGATGGACCACACTGGGAACAGGAGTGGAATGCCGCATTGCTTATCATCCCCACCATCCAGGAATGAAGTTGGCACCAAAATGCTGGCAGTAGACCAGAGTGGACCATCACTGTGTATGCAAGACAATCCAAATGAATTGTACTATTCTTTGAGATTAAGAAGAAGCTCAGGGACTTTCCACTAAAATAAAAATCAAATCTATCAATTGCCATTAGTGTTTCACTTTTTAAAAATGTTTCCCCTTAACTTGAGTCATTATTGCTCATTATGTTTTCCTCTTTCCTTTCATGTACCTTCTTTTCTCTTTAGAGATGTCTCTAGAATGGAAATACATGGAACTCATCCAATTGACACTTAAATTCTGTAAACTCTATGATACAAAGTTACTCCATTTATGGTAAAGCTTAAGCACCCCAATGCAGACTCTTTATTAAAGTCATGATAATTTAGAAACTGAATTGAATTTAAATAAAAGTATTGCTAAAAGCATCATGAATGGCAAAAGTCTGAGGACTTCCTTCTTTCTAGGATGAAAGAATATTGGTCAAATCATGAATTGGGGAGGGAAAAAAAACTATAAAAGATATATTTGAAACAATAAGAGAAATCCAAATCTGGATTCTGTATTAGATGATATTATGGAATTATTATTTGTTTTATAAGTGTGATGATGCTTAACAACAAAGTTTAACACTTTTGTTGCCTGCCTATAGAAAATTGCTTATTCTTTTAAAGACCGAGTATTCGCTTTGTCCTGTTCTCTTTCTTGCTTTCTGTTAATCCAGGAAGACATCAGAGGAGAATGAAAGAAGTAAGAGAGGTTTATGAGAACCAAAAATGGAAAATCATTTCTTTCACAGCAGTGCTCAGACAAGAACTCTACCCACTGAAGTCAACTGGGTAATTTACATTTACCTATACAGTAGTATGTCTACCCAGCCTTGCTCTGGATAAAATGTGTCAACTCTCCCAAACTAATGTATGGCCTGTTGCATAATTACCCCTCATTACGTAATTGATCCTACCTCCTGCAATTCCTTTCCCAGTAACCACTATTCATTGGTCCCAGCCTGGAAGATCAGATATTCAAATTTACCAGCTCAGGCTCCATGTTCCTACCCGAACTCTTGACCTGGTTACAGGAAGGAAAAATAGTGACACTTTTCACTGCCTAAATGTTTTAGTCTCATTTCTTTATGATTTGAGAATCCACTGAAATTCATTATCTTGGTTAAGCAAAAAAAAAAAAAAAAACGAAGACACCTGTGGCTGGGGTATTAGCGGGGCATAGTGGCTCAAGATGGGTTGTACCAGAAATAATTGGTGATGTAAAATATGTTCACTAGCCCACCCGTTTTTTAATCTTCAGTTTCTTTCTGTATTTTTCTGCTCTTTTACCCTTTTTTCTCCCTTTCCACCCCTTCCACACCCTATGCTTGTGTCAATGACTGCCAAAGATACCGGAATTGGTAAAGTTATTTCTGTTCCCTTCTCCTTTTCATTCATCAGGTAGTGGCAGCAAAAAAGGTTTAATCCAAGTCAGTATAGAGTAATCAACTTATCTAAGTGCTCTCATATTTACTGAGTAGTGCTCTGTACTAGATACAGTGAAAGCGAAGAGGAGGAAGCCTTCATCCTTGTCTGCAAGAAGTCTACACTCCTAAGGGGGGAAACAAGCATGCAAACAACTAAATCTAATGCAAGAGATAAGAACACAGAGGGAAAAGCAACTAAATGCCAATGAGGAGATGGTTTCACTAATCCCTATCAGGAAATTATACTACAGAGAAATTTTTTTCTAAGAACACTTAGAAAGACAAAAGTGTAAATTAAGTTTCACTGGATGTCATGCAAAGGAATCCTCAAGTTCAAAGAGCATCTCTCCTTTCAAGTTTTTGCACAGGGTGGGGAGTTGTACAGTACAAATGCTTATGCTTTATTTTTTGCTTCAGTATGTTTTTATTTAATTTTTATAGACACATAATAGTTGTACATATTTATGGGGCACATGTAAAGTTTTGATAACTTACAATGTATAATGATCAAATCAGGGTAATTGGTATATTCATCACTTCAAGCATTTAATATTTCTTTGTGTTAGGAACATTTCAATTCCAATCTTGATTTTGAAATATACAATAAGTTATAGTTAACTCAAATGCCCACTCTTTAGCACAAAAGTAACTGAATAGATAGAAAACCAGAGGAACTACTTATAAGTGTTATGTTTCCACCTGTGGTGACTCTATTTTGAGAATAGAACTTATTTTGCCTCTTCCAAAAAAATGGTACAAATGAAGCTGTGCAAATTGACTAGGGTTGCACAAACAAGCTAAGCATCCAGGTCTATATAACATAAAAAAAGGGGGTAGATGTCTGACTGGTAAGTTACCCCTCTTTCCTTCTTTTTGTTATCCAGGGAATTAAGCAAGTTCAGAGAACTGAACCTGGGTAATTACCCAATTAAACATTTTCCTAGCATTGGGAAATCATGATGCATGGAAAGGACAACACCAGTGGCAGAAGGCAGGAATGCAAAAGGAGACAAATGCCAATCAGAGGCAAAATCCGAGGCCCTTGTGGCCTGACTATAAATAATTGCTTTTCCTCACATCCTTGTCACCTCTTCCTAAAATTAGAATTAGCTTCCTGGCCTGAAAGCTAAACCTCACTCCCACACCCTCCTTTCTCACAAAGCAATATTCCCTAATGCAATAAGGTGGTGGGATTTCAACAACAGCAAGAGTTTAGGAGTCAGGTAACTCCTTGCTCAACTCCTGCTTTTCATTTCAGAGCATTGTTAATCACTGCACCAAGTTTCTTCATCTGAAAAATGGGGATGAGGATGATGATGGTAACAGCTAGTAATCACAAAACAGGCACTGTGCAAAGTGCTTTACATGCATTATTTATGTAATGGGCAGTATTCATGATTATTACTACTGCAATTGTTGTCCTCCTTTACAAATGAAGAAACTGAAATTCCGAGAGGCGTTAACTTTCCCAAGGTTTAACCTCAATGCCTTAACTCTTGACCCTTTCTACTACTATAATAATACTGCCTAAACAAGGTATTGAAAGGGTTAACATTAACATGTATGGACACACCAACTAATGCTATTGTCATCGCTTTTGATGTTGCTGTTGTTGAGCGTGATACTGTTTTTGTTGCTTTTCTCTCTCCCCAGATACTAGCAGTTCTAAGATCTAGTAAGCACAAACCATCCACCCATATACTGGCAAGTGTAAACCAATGTCATGGGAACATTGTTGAGCACCAAATAACAAAGTTGATATACCTTTTAGATCTTTCATTATTAAAATATTTCTGTTGAGCATGAATGAGAGAGCAAGAGAAAAAGAAACGGGATTCAGTACTACCTAAAATGATCCCTGATGCCTACGTTTCTAAAAATTCAGAATGACAAATGAAAGGTACACTGTTCTTACATGTGTCACTTATATTTCTTAAGATAAAATTATGTATCATATGCTAATTTTTGACTATTCAAACTGCGTTTCTGCTTCATTCTTATCTTTTAATTCACTTTTCATTGTAATGAAATAACTATAATACATGTTTAAACCTCTAACATGCCAAAATGCCAATCAGATTAAACACAATAGGAAGCATTTGGCATACCCCTGGAGACTTTCCTAAATAAAATAAAATTGTTATTACATTTCATCACTTCCTTTCTTATTGCCAACTAATATCCCCATGTCTAAAGGGTCATTTTCAAGCTACACATCTATTTATAATAGTGTGTTCACTGTCTTCCTTCCTCCGGCACATTATCTATGACCTTGACCATTTCAGGACAGATAAAATGGTACCATAAACATATGTTTACGAAGCTCCAGACATCTTGTAAGAGATTTTGTGGTTATTAAAAGCAGTAAAGAGTGACAAGCACAGTTCTATACTATAATACTGCCTGTCAAGAGAAAAATGTCACCCTTACCATAAAGTACCCAGAGGCATAATTAGGAAGTGGCAAAGGGAATGATTTCCTGGGCACAGTAATAACAGGGCTGAGATGAAACCCATCAGCAATGGAAGCTGCCTTCTCTCCAACGTGCCTGAGTGGAGCCCCAGTCCACACCAAGGGTCCAGGGCATAGTCATGCTCCCACATCCAAAATGTGGAACATCAAGGAATGCCCAGGACAGTCACACTCATGAAGAGGTGGCAACAAGAATTTCTGGGAGCAAATGAGATATTCTGATGTTTCTGACTTTTCCTAATTGCATCATTATGAAAACTAAAATAATGAATCCTCCTGGGCACCAACTAAGAACATTAAAGAAATTGAAACTTCACAGCTCCTGATGCTCCATACCCATAAACACAGATCCATACAGTCCCCACAGAACTATAAATAAATCCTGCCTGAAAGTCTCCTTCCTGTTCACATGTTTCTCCATAAAACTTGGTAGTATCTCTTTCCTTTTATCTTAACTTTTATCCTTGTGATTCCTGTCTGTCAAGGACAAGAGGTACAAATAAAATGGGAGCTCCAGATTCTTGCTCAGTTCGTCGCAACTCCCCCTGAAAATGTCTCCTTTCCCAGAACCAAAGGAATAAAAATAATCCCTGTAAAGTTATGTGCTGCTTTGGGGCCCTTTCTGCAACATAGGGAGTTCAGTGTATCCCTAGGCATTCTTCCAGCTCAAACATTTTCTGATTCTGGGATGTGTGAGGCTGGAGATGAGTGGAGTCTCAGGAGCAGCCCCTGCAGCCTCTACCCTAGTCAGGAGCCGCTTCTCAGATTTGGGGGCCCAGTCTCGGCAGCTGTGAGGCCTGGGGCTAGGAGGTTGGCATCTGTCCTCCTCAGAGCTAACATTGGCTTCAGCAGGGGAGCAACTTTCTGTCAAGTGATTTTTCTCACTTACAGAAAAATCCTATCTTTCTCACTTTTATAATCAGCATTATTCACCTGTCAGGACTCGTTCCTATCCCAGCTTCTCCACTTAGTAGATGTGTGACCTCTTGGGCCTCCGTTTCCTCACCTGTAAAAAGAAGACACTAATGACATCAATTTTTGTTGCAAGAATTGAATTCGTTAATGTGTGGAACGTGTTAGAACAGTTCCTGGAATACATGAAACACCAGGTAATTGCTAACCAGCAGGTGTATTGTTATTACTGCAGGTAGTAGTAGCTCACCAACACAAGGGATGCCAACACTACTACCTTTCCCTTATCTTTTCACTCCACTAAGTTTGGAATGGATGGTTCAGATTCCCATTTTAAGAGCCCCATTGGACTTCACAAAGCCTCCTGCCAGTGCTCTGAGACTTTACCGTAAGGTTTTCATTTTCTCTTGACAGGAGGCACACTGTGTGTGGAAAGTGTCCTTGCCACCTCTATAGTATAAATAACTATCAAATGTGACTACGAATCATAAACATGCCAGTGATTTGATTCCATGGATTTACATCATAATTGAAATAGTCAAGGTCACAAATAATGGGCTAAAGGAAAACAGCAGCACCATACCACCAATCCTGAATTTTCTCCAACTTTTCTTTAATATGTACTTTTTAGCATTTTAGAGTCCTATAGAGTGCCTGTGTTTGAGGAATTAATTCCTCTCTGATAACATATGTATTTTGAATAACACCCCAGTTACAGATTGAATCCTGGTGACAACAGGAAATGGCAGAAAAATAATGGTCTAAAATATTCCCAAGCCCAAACCTCTTCTCTCAGAAAGAGGTGTAGAGCTGTGACAAGTAAGCTACCACATCGCTCACTTGTGGTCACAATATCCAGTAATACTCAAAGGCTGTGGTGTTGAACTAATATTCTACCTAAGGTTAAAAAAAAAAAAAGGATAATAGATCCAATCATTTAAATTATTTTTTGCCCAACATTTGACACCTTTACAAGCTCTAAAATGATAATATGTTCTAATCACTGAAGGTTTTATTTTATGAGATTCTATAATTTCAATACATACCATGAACTAATTTATCCTTGTTCACTTTAAATCTAGAGAGACATCGTGGTACCAGTCAAGGTAGATGTGGTCAGAATCACTGAAATAAATGATTTACTTAACACTGTGCACATTCCTCATGGGGTGTGGGCAGGTATGTTCATAAATAACTGGAAAATCAGAATAATATTATAATAAACTACTTATTTAAATATTGAATACCTTTACCTTAGTATGGGTGAAGTGGAGATGTCAGGAGACAAAGTCTTCCTGGTGGTATATTGGTCCAGAGACAACTCTCTTCTCTCTATCTTCCGCACTGGAGGGTCCAGCCATGTGCAAGTGGGTGGGGAGGGAAGATGGTGTCCCATCACTACCTCAAGTCAGTATACCCCAAACCCAGAATATTGTACAATCTAAGTTTACTCAAGTCTCTTCACTCAAGTTCAAGTGAGGTAACTCATCTCACACAGTGATGTAATCCATCTTGTACAACATCCAAAGTGTAGTGAGGAGTTAAGAGTGTCATCTCTAGACTAACTCATTCCTCGATACTAACTGTGGGAGTGGGGCTCAATCCCAGACTTTTGGGAGCCGCATATGTATGTCCATCCCACCAGTGGTCAGTGAGTGACTTCCCCCTGCCATTTTCTTCTTTACATTCTCTTCCTAACTCTCATAGTTCCTCTCTCCCTGAAGTTTCCATTCCTCTGGTGTCCTGGACACATGAATGGATTTTTATTTATACTCATTATCTGCTCCACATGGTTCTGTTGCTAGACGGGGAAGATTAAGATGTCTGTGGGTGGAGGTGCTGGGGGAAGAGTTCCTCACAATGATGTGGTATCTGAGGGACACCAGCTTAAATCACAACGGTTAATCTCTTGCTGGTACAATTGTCCTACCTTATCAAACTAAAGAGGCTCGGCCTCCTTCCCAGCTTTAAGTTGTAGTTCAAAAAGCTGCCTTCAATTTCTATACTACTCTAAATAAAGTAGCTTCCCCAGACCTCTCTATCCCATTAATTAAATTTACTTTATTCTTAGTATTTAACATTGGGTAAAATTTATATTGACTTTTTTACACACGAATTGTCTCTGCTCCCCCCCCCGCCAACCACATTAGAATCTAAGAATTCTGATAACATTTGTATTTTGTATTCACTTTCACTAGAATGTGAATATCTTTAGGATATTCACGGCTCTATATGCAATTCCTATAAAGGTGCCTGGCACAAGATAGGCAAGTTTCAGACCTGCATGCCCAATTGTCTATTGGTTTATCACATGGGCATCTCAATCACAACTTGGACAAAACTGAATTCTGGAAAGTGTACTTAGAAAACCCATTCTTCCTCCAATATTTTCTACCATCTACCATTTTCCCCAGCTAGAAAATTGTCATCCTTTAATTACTTGCTCCCCTTTCCCTTTCTTCAATTCCCCCACATTCCTAATTCTTCTTCTCCTTCCTCTACATCCATCTCATCTCCCCACATCTAACTGGCATCCAACTCATGCCAATTCTTCCTCCTCCATCCTCCCTCTTTCCTATCTTTAAATGTTACCACTTCTGTGAAACCTTTTCCTTACCACTACTGTTAGTAGCTTTGATCTCTGTGCTTCACACCATCGTGTCTCTTCAGTGTTTTTAGGTCCTTTTAGGGTTTCACAGTTAAAAATTTTGAGATCTGCTACAAATCATGGGCCCAAGAAAATCCATTTGCACTCAGACTTTTACATAAAATGACAGCATTCTATATTTCAAACCCTTTACTGAAACATGCATCATGGTAATTGTGTTATATTTATTTATGTATCTGTCTTCTTCACTAGAATGTAAGAAGTTCTAGGGCAAGTTTATATCATGTTATCTTTTTCATAAAACTCCTTTGTTTATATTGCTGTGCTTAGTATGTATAAGGTACTAAAAATCATCAACTTACTGTCTACTGCAATATTTAGATGTTATGTTAAGACAGCATCTTCCAAATAGTCATTTGAATATCACCCTCACAATTTTTGCCATATCCGCTCAACCTATCCTACTATGTACTTAACAATTTGTGTAGATTGTTTGTAAAATCTTTACCAAAGATTATTTCCATTTCTGAACATATGTGTCATTAAACCCCCAAAAAGGTGTGGAGTCTATTTCTCCTCCCCTTGAATCCAGACTTGTCTTGTCACTTGATTTGACCAATAAAATGTAGCAGGAGTAACACATTGCGACTTCTAGATCTAGACCTTAAGAGACTTTGTACTTTTCTTTTTTACTGTCTTTAGATCCAGCCATGATGTTAAAAAGCTCCATGTGGTCTCTCATCACTAGGAAGTGATGAGATACCACTAAACAGGGAGAGGCTTGACCACCTGCAGCCATTCTGGCCACCCCAGCTAGGTTGCCAGACATACAAGTGTCTTAGTCCATTTAGGCTCCTGGAACAAAATAGTTTAGACTGAGTAATTTACAAACAACAGAAATCTACTGTTCACAGTTCTGAAGGCAGGGAAGTTCAAGATCATGGCACCAGCAGATTTAGTGTCTGGTGAGGGCTTGCTCTGCTTCCTAAATGGAGCCTTCCTGTTGCATCTTCACGTAGCAGAAGGGGCAAACAGGCTCCCTCAAGCCTCTCTTATAAGGGCACTAATTCCATTCATGAGGGCAGAGCCTCCTAAAGGTCTCACCTCTCACATTGAGTCTTGAGTTCCAACATTTGAATTTTGAAAGGACACCAACATTCAGACCACAGCAATGAATAAAGCTATTTTGGTCCTTCCAGCCTCAACCAAACTCTCAAGCCACAGGACCCCAGCAGACCTCATGGAGAGAAGAATTGCCTAGCAGAGCCCAGCCAACTCACAGAATCCAAATAAGTCATTGTTTTTTAAACCAGTATGTTTTGGAAGTAGTCCACACAGCAATAGATAGCTGATGTGATGCTTTTCTTTAAAACTCTTTTTTTAAAACTTAAGTCTGTGTTAAAAAAATGTTTCTCACTTCTATAAATAGAAAATTACTATCACTTTCCATAAAACTAACCACAATGAAAGAAGAAACAAAGTAATGTTATTCACTTCTAGCCAGATACTCCTGCCTTCAAAAGCCTCTGTGTTCCTTCCAAAGGAAGATCCCCAAATGTCAGAGAGATATTAAAGATACACCAAAACTAAATTAGGACTGCCTCCTTGGTGTGAGTTAAGCTAAAAGGAAATGGAATGAAAATAACATACTCAACTCTGAAATTTGATAGTATTTAATGCTGTCTATCACCAAAAACCATTATCTTGTAAAATAATACAGGTGGTAAGCAACTACTGCAAAAATTGTGAGGGTGTTACTCAAATGACTAATATTTGGAAGATGCTGCATTAACCTAACACCTGAACACTGAGGTAGGTAGGCAAGTGGGTGGTCAGCATTTTTACTACCTTCTACACATCAGGCACAATGCAAAACAGAAAGGGGTGTGGATAAAATATACAACATAATGTACTCCTGTGCTAGAAGTGCTTGTACTCTAATGGAGGAGACAGGAGTATAAATAGTTATAACACATTAACTATGGCAAATGTAACTATAAAAGATTTAAAATACAACGCCCATGGACTCAGACATTGTCAAGGACATAAAATCCCTGACATTTTGGGCAAATGTTTGAGGATATATGGATATTCTGGGCCCATAACTTGCATTAGATTCTCAAAGTTCATTGGAACACATTCTGTAACACAGGAAACACTCGAATAATTAATGCAGGGTATTGTTGGTTCTTGGTTCTTGCCTGGATGTTCTTTTTTAGTTTGTCATTTTGGAATCATAATTGTGGCCTCTTCTCTGTTTTTCATGATTTTGTACTTTTCTCACATAGCTGTATGAAAGTTATCTTTAATTCCCTGATGACCAAACTCCCCTAAAGGTCTCTGCCACATTTTAAGCTCTTTGAAGCTAGAGACATACCATATAGCTTCCTGCCTTCAATTTCAAATAAACATCTGTTAAATGAAGAATAAATCTTGTAGAACTCCTGCAGGAAGTTTTCCTGCTGTCTAGGACTGATTAAAAATGTTTTCCATTGCTCAGACTATGAACACTAAAAGTGTTTCTAATCTGAAATGTGTACATAACAAAATATTTGGAAAAAGGCACCAAGTTCTTCCTGCAATGTGTTATGTGTGTATATTCACAAACGTCTGTCTGGACTGGCATTTTATGTCTAGGCCTGTGTAGGTCAGTGTTGAATATTTTAAACGGTGTGGGGACTGTGTTTATTTACATACTGCATAAAGCAGCCATTGCAATGTTATTCACACATGGGGCCTCTGGGCTTCTCCTGAGCATGAAAGTGCTGCTGTTGATATTCATGCTTTTCTCAGTATTTCTTCTTTCATCCTATCTTCCAACATAGCAATTTTGTCTTCCTCTGGAACTGAAATTCAGTGAAAAATATAGGCCTCTAAAATGTTAATACTTTCGTCCTAATTTTTTTTTAATTTTTTAGCTATGCTGTGAACTAAATGAGCTGAAGCCTCCACTATTCAAAGTTCTTCAGGGTTTGACATTTAAATTTATTCTAAAATAGTTTTTGCATGAAAAACCAAGAAAGGGAGGATTGTGGTTTGTACCTTGGCATGGAATTTTATATGAGTGGGATAGAAACAGAGTAGTGGTGTTGAAGCCGTCTGCAGGATTTACTGGCACTGATTGGGAGCATGAACGGCCCAGTCTCCAAACAAGCCCATAATTCATATGACTAATTCTAGCTTTTGCCTTAAGCCTCCACCCCAGCCCCCACCCCGCCACACACACAATCAGCATATATGGAAATGTTAATAAAGTCATCATCTCATTCTCTTCAAAATGATTAATTCTCATCACACCCATGCCTCAGTATTTCCAGGTAGGAAGGGGGCCTTCAGGACAAGAGGTTGCAAAGGGAAGCAAATTCAAGTGAGAAATCCTGCAAAACTTTCTGGAAGGCGATAGAATTAAACATCTCTCATTCCGAGATGTGTTCTAGTAGGCATGCTTCTGAGCCATAAGAGCATCCATATTATGGCTTTGAAAATATTTTATATACACATTCTCAAACACTCTAAAACTTTATTTTTTCTAAATTCTTTTTAACCTTAACTTCTGTTTGTAAGGCGAGTTTAAGATTCATCTAAATATATTATTTAAGTGATTCCTATTATAATACGTGAAACACCCTTTTCATCCATCTGTACCTCTGAACCTTTTTAATAATGCCTCATTATAATTAAGAGTTCAGACTGGTTAGCCATAGCATGACAATCATCTACTGAGACTTAATACACTATGTATATGTAACAGAAAACACCTACTACTTGGAGTGTACAGCTTGCCTAATATAAAGTAGCAGATTTTGAGGGGAAAGCATTTTAGAGTGACTGCCAGATGCATGCCAAAGCCCCGCCTCCAGTGGTCCAAATAATGATTGCAATGACAGCCCTGGGAACAGCAGGGAGAGTTTTCAGGCTAAACCCTCACAATTTTTCTTACAGCTCCTTCCAAAAGGGAACAAAGCAGCTCTGCGTGTGTGTGTGTGTGTGTGTGTACGCTCCTACACGTGTGTGTATGTTTTCCTGTTTTGAGGGTAGAAAGTACTAGAAGTAGATAGTAGATAGTGCCTGAGATGCCAACATAGGCAAATGAAGAAGGTAGAGTAGATAAGGAGAGGATTCGACCAGAAGTCCTACAATGGCTTTTTCCAGTTTCAAAAAGTCTCTGATTGGGCCAACTGAATGTGCACATAAACCCTGCTTCTCCCCAAATATAAGGAGCAAAAGGGAAAAGTGGAGTGCTGACTCCACTTTGATGGAGGAGGACGGGCAGACAGGAAAATGTGGTCAGAGTGCAGTCCCTGAAAGGCTATGATGAGGAGAGAAGCTCCCCAACGCTCCAAGCCCCTTCTCAGCAAATGGGGCAAAGGCCATCTGCACATTGTACTTACCTGGAGCTCCTCTCCATCTGGTAAAGGCACCCCTGTGCACCTGAATGGACATCAAATCTCAGACTCTTCAGAAGAAAAACTTCCCTGTTTCCTTGGCTACACCTGATAATGATGTGAAAGAACCCAGAAACAGTCAAAATGTCTATTCATTTCTCTGATCTAACACTTATCAGTGTGTGACCTTATGTCAATGGATATGCCGGTCTCAGCTCAAGATTTCTTAAACTGCAGAATGGACATAAATGTAATGCTATGTTACCAAAAGAAAGTGGTGAGGACAAGAAGAAAGGCCTGGAAAGAGCCCATGTCTGTGTGTACCCATGAGGGGAGAATGAGAGGGCTGGCCTTTCATGCAGCACACTGGTGCACATGGCACAAGAACCACGGACCACACTTTCATCTGTCAAATGTACTAACTGCCAGCAAGAGGCCTGATGAGCCAGAGTGGGCACCTGTGCTCCAACCCACGTATACGTCTCTATGTCCAAACACCCAGCGTGTCTCCTCCTGTAGCCATGGTTGAATAGCTCAGGCTCCTAGCTAAGACCCATCCTGCCCCTTATGCACTGGAGCCCATCCTTCTTACCTACTTAAAGACATTGCTCCAGCAATTGTCCACCTGCTCTTGTATCATCAAGTTGTTACTCTCTACTGGATCATTCCCAGCATACGAATGTGCTGTCATAATTTCTTCCGCTTAAAAGTTTTTGTTGTTGTTGTTGTTGTTTTGTTTTTGTGTGTGTGTGTGTGTGTGTTTTTTTTTTTTTTTTTTTTGAGACGGAGTCTTGCTCTGTCGCCCAGGCTGGAGTGCAGTGGCGCGATCTCAGCTCACTGCAAGCTCCGCCTCCCGGGTTCACGCCATTCTCCTGCCTCAGCCTCCCTAGTAGCTGGGACTACAGGCGCCGCCACCACGCCCACCTAGTTTTTTATATTTTTAGTAGAGACAGGGTTTCACCATGTTAGCCAGGATGATCTCCATCTCCTGACCTCGTGATCTGCCCATCTCGGCCTCCCAAAGTGCTGGGATTACAGGCTTGAGCCACCGCGCCCAGCCAAAAGGTTTTTTAAAACTCTCCTGGCTCCACATCCTTCTCCAGATACCACCCTATTTCTCTTCCCTTTTAGAGTAAAAGTGTAGTTCTAAAGTGTAGTCTCTATTCTGCCTCCAGTCCAACTACTCCCATTCCTTCTGGAATTCATTCCAAATAGCTTTCGTCGTCATTACTTCATCAAAATAGTTCTTGTGAAAGTCATCAATGACCTCCCTGTTGCTACATCCAAGAGTCAGTTCTCAGGCCTCCTCTCCCTCACCTTGTCAGCAGTACCTGGCACACTTGATCACACCCTCTTTTTTTTTTTTTTTTTTTTTTTAACTTTCTTTCTTAAAAAAAAAAAAATAGATACAGGGTCTTGCTCTGTTGCCAGGCTGCAGAGCAATGGTATGCTCATGGCTCACTGCATTTTCTTTCTTTTTTATTTTTTATTATACTTTAAGTTCTAGGGTACATGTGCACAACGTACAGGTTTGTTACATATGTATACATGCGCCATGTTGGTGTGTTGCACCCATTAACCCGTCATTGACATTAGGTATATCTCCTAATGCTATCCCTCCCCCCTACCCCCACCCCATGACAGGCCCTGGTGTGTGATGTTCCCTACCCTGTGTCCAAGTGCTCTCATTGTTCAATTCCCACTTATGAGTGAGAACATGTGGTGTTTGGTTTTCTGTCTTTGTGACAGTTTGCTCAGAATGATGGTTTCCAGCTTCATCCATGTCCCTACAAAGGATATGAACTCATCCTTTTTTATGGCTGCATAGTATTCCATGGTGTATATGTGCCACATTTTCTTAATCCAGTCTATCATTGATGGACATTTGGGTTGGTTCCAAGTCTCTGCTATTGTGAATAGTGCCACAATAAACATATGTGTGCATATGCCTTTATAGCATGATTTATAATCCTTTGGGTATATGCCCAGTAATGGGATTGCTGGGTCAAATGGTATTTCTAGTTCTAGATCCTTGAGGAATCACCACACTGTCTTCCACAATGGTTGAACTAGTTTACAGTCCCACCGACAGTGAAAAAGTGTTCCTATTTCTCCACATCCTCTCCAGCCTCTGTTGTTTCCTGACTTTTTAATGATAGGCATTCTAACTGGTGTGAGATGGTATTTCATTGTGGTTTTGATTTGCATTTCTCTGATGGCCAGTGATGATGAGCATTTTTTCATGTGTCTGTTGGCTGCATAAATGTGTTCTTGAGAAGTGTCTGTTCATATCCTTTGCCCACTTTTTGATGGGGTTGTTTGATTTTTTTCTTATAAATTTGTTTAAGTTCTTCGTAGAGCCTGGAAATGAGCCTTTTGTCAGATAGATTGCAAAAATTTTCTCCCATTCTGTAGGTTGCCTGTTCACTCTGATGGTAGTTTCTTTCACTGCACAGAAACTCTTTAGTTTAATTAGATCTCATTTGTCTATTTTGGCTTTTGTTGCCATTGCTTTTGGTGTTTTAGTCATGTAGTCCTTGCCCATGCCTATGTCCTGAATGGTATTCCCTAGGTTTTCCTCTAGGGTTTTTATGGTTTTAGGTCTAACATTTAAGTTTTAATCCATCTTGAATTAATTTTTATATAAGGTGTAAGGAAGGGATCCAGTTTCAGCTTTCTACATATGGCTAGTCAGTTTTCTCAGCACCATTTATTAAATAAGGAATCCTTTCCCCATTTCTTGTTTTTGTCAGGTTTGTCAAAGATCAGATGGTTGTAGATGTGTGGTGTTATTTCTGAGGCCTCTGTTCTGTTCCATTGGTCTATATCTCTGTTTTGGTACCAGTACCATGCTGTTTTGGTTACTGTAGCCTTGTAGTATAGTTTGAAGTCAGGTAGTGTGATGCCTCCAGCTTTGTTCTTTTGGCTTAGGATTGTCTTGGCAATGTGGGCTCTTTTTTGGTTCCATGTGAACCTAAAAGTAATTTTTTCCAATTCTGTGAAGGAAGTCATTGGTAGCTTAATGAGAATGGCATTGAATCTATAAATTACCTTGGGCAGTATGGTCATTTTAGTGATATTGATTCTCCCTATCCATAAGCATGGAATGTTCTTCCATTTGTTTGTATCCTCTTTTATTTAATTGAGCAGAAGTTTGTAATGCTCCTTGAAGAGGTCCTTCACATCCCTTGTAAGTTGGATTCCTAGGTATTTTATTCTCTTTGTAGCAATTGTGAATGGCAGTTCACTCATGATTTGGCTCTCTGTTTGTCTGTTAGTGGTGTATAGGAATGCTTGTGATTTTTGCACATTGATTTTGTATCCTGAGACTTTGCTGAAGTTGCTTATCAAGCTTAAGGAGATTTTGGGCTGAGACGATGGGGTTTTCTCATGTCATCTGCAAACAGGGACAATTTGACTTCCTGTTTTCCTAACTGAATACCCTTTATTTCTTTTTCCTGCCTGATTGCCCTGGCCAGAACTTCCAACACTATGTTCAATAGGACTGGTGAGAGAGGGCATCCCTGTCTTGTGCCAGTTTTCAAAGGGAATGCTTCCAATTTTTGCCCATTCAGTAAGATATTGGTTGTGAGTTTGTCATAAATAGCTCTTATTATTTTGAGATACGTCCCAGCAATACCTAGTTTATTGAGAGTTTTTAGCATGAAGGGCTGTGGAATTTTGTCGAAGGTCTTTTCTGCATCTATTGAGATAATCATGTGGTTGTTGTCTTTCGTTCTGTTTATATGATGGATTATATTTATTGATTTGCATATGTTGAACCAGCCTTGCATCCCAGGGATGAAGCCAACTTGATCGTGGTGGATAAGCTTTTTGATGTGCTGCTAGATTCAGTTTGCCAGTATTTTATTGAGGATTTTTGCATCGATGTTCATCAGGGATATTGGTCTAAAATTCTCTTTTTTGTTGTGTCTCTGCCAGGCTTTGGTATCAGGATGATGCTGGGCTCATAAAATGAGTTAGCACCCCCTCTTTCTTAAAGCACTCAGCTCACTTGGCATCTGGGCCATCACACTGTTCAGAACCCTAAAATGGTGTCCCATCTCACTCTGAATAAAAGCCAAAGCCTTACAATGGCTTAAAAGGCTTTCTTTGATTTCTTTTCTAGGAATTCTCTTCCTCTAGATAACCACATAACTCATTCCTCAATTCTATTAGCTCAAATATTACCTTATCAGTCTGTGGGTCTTTCCCTAATGTTCCATATAAAATAACCACCTCCCACTTTGGGAGGCTGAGGTGGGTGGATCACGAGGTGAAGAGATCAGGACCATCCTGGCCAACATAGTGAAACCCCATCACTACTAAAAATACAAAAATTAGCTGGGCATGGTGGCGCACGCCTGTAGTCCCAGCTACTCGGGAGGCTAAGGCAGGAGAATCACTTGAACCTGGGAGGCGGAGGTTGCAGTGAGCCAAGATCGCACTACTGCACTCCAGCCTGGCAAGAGAGCAAGACTCCATATCAAAAATAAATCAATTAATTAATTAATTACTGCCTCCCTAGACTCCCTCCTATGTCCCTTACCAGGAGCTTCATATTATAATCTATGTTATATAATCACAGGTTTACTTATTTTATGTAAGCTAGTTTTGTTCACTGCTATATCGGCAGCACCTATAATGGTATTTGGCATATAGTAGGAAGTCAAGTATTTATGGAGAGATCTAGGGAAGGAATCTTAAGTCCTGGAAACTGAAGAGAGACTGGGTACATAACCAGCCTTCAATGTTTGCTTCAGAGAAGGAGAAGTTCTCAGAATACAAGTGGACAGTGCTAGGGACATTCTGTACACCCTATTTATATTAGGCTGGAAAGACTGCTCCCTGTCCAAGGATGAGGCAGGACAAAGTCAACACAGTATCTCTGAAAAGATTCTACAATACCATAGAAACTTTTGAGTAACATCTGTTTGGTGCCCTAAACAGAGGTGTATGAAAACACAATCTCTATGAAGATGAAAAAAATTCAAAAACGAATAGGCTAAAATGAAAACAGAAAAGAACATGAAGCCACTGGAATAAGCAAAAAATACAACGATACACAAAATGCCATACCAGAATTAAAGTACTCCTGTGAAGCAGTAAAGACCATAATTAGTACTGCAGAAAATCAATTGTGATGTGGATAGATAACCTGAGTAGCTCTTTTAAAATGCATAAAGGTGAAAAAAATACATAAACAAGATTAAAAGAAATTCCCCAGGTGGCTTACGCCTGCAATTTCAGCACTTTGGGAGGCCGAGACGGGTGGATCACCTGAGGTCGGGACTTCAAGATCTGCCTGACCAACATGGAGTAACCCCGTCTCTACCAAAAATACGAAATTAGCCAGGCGTGGTGGCACATGCCTGTAATCCCAGCTACTCAGGAGGCTGAGGCAGGAGAATTCCTTGAATTCAGGAGGCAGAGGTTGCGGTGAGCTGAGATCACACTATTGCACACCAGACTGGGCAACAAGAGCAAAATACCATCTCAAAAAAAAAAAAAAAAAAGAGAGAGAGAAGAAATTTCCCAATATATTAACGTCAGCATCTTCAGTGATTTTCCTTTTGTTATATATTTCTTCTATACTAAACTTTTAATAATATACATATAAATCACAATAATCAAAGAGAAAAATGGGAAGGAAAAACTTTATATACATTAAACTGTTTATGGTTTCTATTTTGTGAGAGGAAAACTATTTCCTAGCCCATTGTCCTCCTTACAGCCCAGCAATGTTATTCCT